GAATATGATGCCTTACTCCATTTAAGGTGGCCTCACACTTATCTCGAGAGTTGTGAATCAGAATTTGGGTACTGACCTTGAAATGGGAATTAGAATTTGGGTACCAACCCCAAAAGGATGAAAATCAAAAGCCTTAATCCATTTAGTTAGCCTAACACCGATCTCAAAGAGATGAGAATAGGATGTCTTACTCTATTTAAGGTGGTTTTATACCTATCTCTAGTATCTCTAGAGGATGGAATAAAAATTTAAGTACAAATCACGAGATGGGAACTGAAATTTTGGTATCAATCCCAAAAAGATGAGAATTGGAAGCCTCACTCCATTTAAGGTGGCCTTACACCGATTTTAAAGAGATGAGAATAGGATGCCTTACTCCATTTAAGGTGGACTTATACCTATCTCGAGAGATGGGAATCAAAATTTGGGCACTGACCTCAAGATGAGAATTGGAATTTGGGTACCAACCCTGGAAGGATGAGAATTAGAAGCCTTACTCCAAGTAAGGTGGCCTCACACTGATCTCGAAGAGATGAAAATAGTATGCCTTACTCGATTTAAGGTGGTCATATACTTATCTCAAAAGATGAGAATTAGAATTTGGGTACTGATCTTAAAATGGGAATTGGAATTTGGGTACCAAACCCAAAAGGATGAGAATGGGAAGCCTTACTCCATTTAAGGTGGCCTTACAACGATCTTGAAGAGATGAGAATAAGATGCCTTACTCCATTTAAGGTGGTCTTATACCAATTTTGAGAGATGGGGATAAAAAATTGGGTACTGATCCTAAGATGGGAATTGGAATTTTGGTACTAACCTTGGAAGGATGAGAATTGAAAGCCTTACTCCATTTAATGTGGCCTCACACCTACCACGAAGAGATGAGAATAGGATGCCTTACTCCATTGAAGATAGTCTTATACCTATCTCAAGAGATGGAAATCAGAATTTGGGCCCTGATCCCGAGACGGGAATATGAATTTGGGTATTGAACCCGAGATTTCAATTTCACTTGAGAAGTAAAGTCCGAAGACTTGTTTTCCAACTTAAGAAGGGAGGAAAGATTCCAGAGATTTAGTGAGAATCTGTGGAGACCTGTGAGGAAATGAATTGTGGGAGATTCAAATTTGTGATTAATTTGGAAAGTTTGTGATATTTCGTGAGAGTTTGAAATTTTGATGAGAATTTATTCTCTTTTAATTTTTTCAGATTTTGTGCTGTTTTCATTATTTTGTCTCATTTCTTGTTTTTTTGTTTTATTTTTCTTTATCTTTTGAATTTCTTTTTTTATTATTTTGTTTATAATTATATTTGTATCGTTCTTTGGCCAACATTCCTTAAATCAAGCCAAGCTCAATAAAGTGTCGTTAACAGTCAATTGCACAAAAAATGAATGTAAAATGCAACAAGTTCATTTCCATTTAATTGTTGAAAGATGTACATCATGTGTCTCCATATATATAGGAATAAACCACAATGATTTTTGACATTAATCTTCTAAAAAGCATACTCAGACACTTTGACTCCGAGTGGATATCCTCCGAATCTTCATATCATTTCTCAAAATTTCCACAGTTTCTTTACATTTATGTTTGTTCAATAAGCTACATGGGTAAAAACATCACCTTCCAAGCCACCCTCAGAAGTAGAATTTTGTATAGGTGTAATTAGAGGTGCGCTACCTCTATGTAGCTTATAGCTTAAGAGACTGTAGGCTCTCTAGGTCTGGATATGGCATGTACTTGAATGGCCTCTTCTTTTCGCTCATTCTTCGGAAGGTGATTGAGATTCTTTGGTAAGGAATTCCTGGAATGCAGTGCTTGGTCACATTTGCACCATTGCCCTTCAACACCAGCACTGAGCCTACTAGTAAGGGTATTTCCACCAGCCCTCAAAATTCACCTGGGCCAACTTTCCAGAGGTCTGTCCCAAACATTATGTTGCACTGATTAATGAACGACACAGTATAGAAGGGCCTCACAAAGTCATGGTGATCTATGTGAGGTGGGATACAATCAACCTCTTTATATATAATGCAGCAATTGGGCAAAAAATCATTGGGTAACACCTGTAAGGACACCATTCGCTTAATCATCCTTATTATAAGTCCTGCATCAGATCAACCTCATCGTGATGGAGTATTCTTGACAGGTTTCCTTCTCTTTCCTTGGTAAAATTATAGCAGTAACCACACTGTATTATGATTATTCCTTTGCCCTACATCAACTTTTGAGGCTCTGAATAAGTCTTCATCCTCAAATAGCCTACAAGACCCAAGTCCCTGAGGTGGAACACACATTCCATGATTTGCTCTTGCTTGTACTTGGAGAACACATTCGTATGTAACTCCAAGCCTTCTAAGATATTGACGTATCTGCCCTGTATCCTTTGAAAATGCTCAAAATCTTATTTTTGTACTTTCTTGATTCTTTCCAATTAATGTTCTGGGATAATCTGCAACTTTTGTGGTCTAGTGACAAACTGTGGGATGTACAGTGCAAAATTTGTGGGCTACTCCCTCATCTTGGGAACAATTAGCTTCGGGGTGGCTACCACACTTGTCCTCACAAAGTGGTTGTACTATCCATAATGAACCCTTTCTTCTTCTGCTCCATTGCCTATTTGGTTAACTTCTTGTGGAATTGGTGATTACGATTTTGCCTTTGAGTCGGGGTGAGATTTGTTGTTCTTCCAATTTGAACATTTTCAGGCATGACACTGAAGAGCTCACCTCCTGTAGTCATCACCATGGACTTTATTTTTTTATTATCGGCGTTCTGGCTATCACTTACCTCTGTTTCGTCATTTCGTTCAAATTTCCTCTTCCTTTAGCAATCTTCTTGTCCTTTCTCTTGAATTTAACCACTGCCTTACTGTCACGAAGCTCTTCCTGTTTCACGGTAGTCAAGGCTTCTCTTTCATATTCTAGCCTTGCTAGTGCAAAGTTCAAGTCAAACTCGATCACAACTCCTTTAATTTTATCTTTATCCTATGCAAGATTGAAGCCAACTTTAAAGGTAAGGATCAACCTCCCATTTGACATCTTTTTATGAGAATAAGGAAGAAATTAGGGTGCCAAACCTAGAAGAACAAGAACAATAAGACTTTGCTTATTAATGAATTTTTTTTTTATTTATAAATGTTAAGTTTATCATTTACGTTATGAATGGAGAAAGAGATTTCCTTATATGTTCGAATTTTACTATTTGGAAATTATAATTTCTTCTAGAAAATTTTTTATTAATTTTGGGTTTGGACCCAGTTGCATACAATCACTATATCGGTGCTTCTACGAACACAACTCTATTTCTAAAGCTTGTTCTTCAAAACATCACGTCACGTAATACTTCTTTAGGTACCCTCCATTAATAAGAATCATAGGTCGTTCTCCATGGAAATCCATAAGATGGTAGGAGCATCTAAAGTAGAATTTCTCTACCATGAATGGCCATTTCTAAGTTAGTTTGAATTTACCTCCTATCTTGCGATGTGCAAGAATATGCCTTCCAAGAATAAATATTGAACACTAACCTTGAAGTCCTTGGGCGGACAAGTTTGTTGTGGACCTAGATCATCTTGGCTTTGTACAGGTCCAAATTTTTTTTTGTTGATAGTCATTTTCCTTCCAAACTTTCCAATTCTTCCAGTCATAATTTGGCATTTTCTTTAGTAGTGATCTAGTTGGCGACAACAACTCTGAGAGATAAAATTCGAACCTCTAAAGAAAGTATAGCCTCAGACTCATACACAAAAGCGTAAGGTGTAGAATGTGTAGGAGTTCCGAACATCATTTTATA